TTATAATTAATTTAATAATTAATTTTATTAATTTATAAGTTTTCTACAATGGAAAATAAGTACTCCTTAATTTATTATTTTCATAACAGAAACATATTTGAATTTGCATCATTGTTATTAATAAATATAAGACATCTAATATTCTATATCGATACTTTAGTACATGGCTATCTCAGACACGAAGCATTTTCTCGCGAAAACAAGCATAGCCTATCCAATCGCAGCCCACTTCTAGTCGACGCGAATCCATCATGCCGGTAACACCTGGACAAATGTTTACGCGCGTGAAAGTAAAAGTTTCAGTGTCGGAACAATACGTTTCGTAAAGTAATGCTATCATTGATTAGTATTTTAATTACTGCAACTGACGAAATTAATATTCAACAACGATAATGCGCAGTATCAGTTATTCTTTAGGAACATTGAACAACTTTTGTAACATCTTCGTGATATTTACAAAACGACCACAACAGAAGTTTAAGAAATTGAGAGAACTCTACCAAGAATAGGATAACTAACTACGAACATTTGTTGTAGTTACACATGTAAAGAGAAATGTGTGCAGGTTGTGCATCCCTGAGCAACAGAATAAATCAACAGGTTATGTACTGCCAACAGAATGTAAGCCACATGTTGAGTGTGGAAAACAAAATTGAAGAAGAAAAGAAAATTGGAAGTATCAATAGATGAAAGGATCAAGATGGATATCATATTTAGAAATTTAGAGTGATCTTCATGCTATAATCTGAAGGTTTGTATGAACATGCAATGAAAGAACCAAGAAATATAGAAAAGTACAAACAGGATTGGTTAACAAACAATGTGTAGATAAAAAATCTAATAGTTTCAACCAGGGAGGAGATATTACTAATTGATATACCAACCTGTACATCAAGTCATGAAGTATGGGTAAAATTCAACAATATCTGTGATAAGGATAAGAACAGCAAAGATATTCCGTTACAGAGGTATTTTTCATGTATAAATATAAATTTGAACGTGTCACACATTGTGTGTCAGACAAGTAAGTTTTCAAATTACATGCATTAGGTAGTAAGATAGAAAAAACAATGATTATAACTAAAATCTTATGTATATTTTTAGAACGTGTATTTGCAAATGCCTAGGAGTTAATGCAGAAAGAAGAAAAGGGAATAGATAATCTCAAAACTGAACTGATTGCAAAGGAAGCAAGAGGAAAAGCAGGTCTGTAGCCTACAAACCTCAAGAGAAGAGATGTTTCAAGTAGAATTCCATTAGACATCTTGCATATGTATGTTGGAAAAACAACAAAGGTAAAAAAGAAATTAAATGTTGCAGTTGTGCCAGATTTGAATAAAAATCAGTAAAATTTCTAGGATTAAGAACAAAAGACGAGGCTTAAGATGTATACTTTCCACGTGAGACATGTGAAAAGTCCAATTATTTGGAAGAAATCATTCTGATATATGTGTGTACCTATAGAACTAGAGACATGGAACAGAAATAGGTATGTGATGATAGCCTTAGATTTTACTAATTTTGTGAGGATTTATCTTATGGAATCAAATACTGAAGCACTAAAAAAATTGTAAAAGTATGTTGCAGCAGCAGGAGCAAAGTGGTATAACACACAGACTTTGATACAATAATGGAAGCAGGAGGGTTTATCAGTCGAGAATTCAAGAATTGGTGTAGACAGAAAGTAATTATACTGAATTATACGACATTGTATATATCTCAACTGAATGGAAAGGCTTAATCGAATATTACTGAATAAGACATGAGCACTCCTGTACGACTGGACTGGAAAAGAAATTGTGGGTAGAAGCTGTGTATTTTGCAGCTTATGTGCAAAATAAAAGTTCTGCGAAACCAATGAATACAACTGCATATGGAAAGTGAGTAGGAGAAAGATCTCACATATAAATTACACGCTTTCGCAGAAACTAATATTTTCCGGAATCTGAGAGTAATAGTGCAATTTTGTTTGCAGATTCGTTTTAAGGAAAGTAAACTCTGCAAGAATTACGCAATGAATATTACAGATTAAGTTTTGTATTTTACAGTATAGTTAAATAAATGATACAGCATAGTCTTTATACCATGTGTTTGATTCATTTTAATATTAGAATTACCAAAGAGGTTTCATGCATATAATATTGCAAATTTATAGTTGTTTTATTCAAAATTAGTATTGATTTCATTCGGATAGGAAGATAGTTACACGTATTTATTTTTTTAATGCATTTGACCACTTTAGTATTTCTGGATAAATTCCTTTTTAATTAATTAATTTCTAATAATTATTACTCAAAAGATGTGAAATGATACCGAAG